ATGCTGAACAAGTTTACTTAAGACGCCAGGACAGGTTGTCTTAGTAAAATAAATAGTTATGAGTGTTTTTAGACGAAAGATTTTTTAGTTAATTTTTGTGCAATGGATTTGCAGAAAGAGTTTTTTTTTTCATTTTTTTCAGCATATTACTTCACTTCTAGCTATATAATATCTGTAATATATAGAATATCAACTACAACATCATATTTCAAACTTTACCAAGAAACTTAATTCTTCAAATCTATTAGGAATAAGTACTTGTATTAGACTTCAGCAACTTTAGAACAAGCTATGATTATCTACTAGTATTCTAATACATAAAAATTCTATTATTGATAGGCCTAATAAGCATATTATTAACTTTAAAATTATTCAACTTTTTAATTATCTTGGTATTATATTTTTATCTAACTCATTATATAATATTCTATATACTGTTCAAAAAGGATCTATTCCATTTGAATTATTATTTTTATTACATCCAAAATACTCAACTTTCAAAAAACAACTTAGATACTATTGTATTCTTTTTTAGATCAACTAACTACATTTGATAACTTATGCCTTTTAGACTGAAAACATATTTTTATATATATAAACAAAATTCTTAAAGGCAAACAATCACTTTGGTTTAATTATCTAGAAGACCAAATTACAAGTCATTTATACAATTGTACTCTTTATCAACATTTATACTTACCTAATACAAACTATTATAGTTATTCAACTGGATACTTTTTATTAAGAAAAAAACTATGGCTTATTACTAGGGATGTTACAGTCCGACAAGGACCATGATTCAGACTGTTTTTTGAACTGGTCCAAGTAGTTACCAGTCCAAGAATTAGGACCGGTCTGAGTAGGTCCATATATATAAAATGTTAGAATGATCTAATCTTCAATCTGGTTTATAAGCTAGAAATAATTCTAATTCTAGTTAACTAATCCCCGATCTCATGATTCAGACCCTGATTATATAATATAATAGATGCAAGGTAATATGCATGAAACAATTACGAATATGCAGGTTGTCATAAGAGGCATTCACATGTTTTATTTTGTACACAAGAAAATTTTATTATACCTGGCATGTAAAGCAATCTTTACTGTCATAAACAATTACAGCAAAAATAGACAGTGATTTAAATAATGTCGTAAGTGCAAAAAAAATGGTGTTTTTTTTTTAATGCAATATGAAGTGCATCAGAAATAATTAATACAATTTTTTTACTTAAAAATTTACCAGAATTGGTTTATATATGACTTTGCTAAATTGAATGACTAAATTTAAGTTGAAAAAATAATACAGGTTTTTGACAATTTAAATAAAGTACTTTCGATATTGAATTTTGTATGAAAAAAAACCTGAAATTTTAGTAGTAGCCAGTTTTAACTATTTAAAACAAAAAAATTGTTCATAAAATAGAAATTCTGAAACACCATTTACTTAAGATTTGAATTTCTTTGAACCAATAAGATATATACAATTTAATTCATATTGAACAGATAAAATTAGAATAATAAACGAAATTAACAACTAGATCATACATTATTACTGCAATAAATACCTTGCAATTTTATTATAACCCAACATGTAATAATTTTGTTAAAGCAAAATTTTCATTATAATTTCTATTATACAATTTATATAAATCAAATTCTTGTTCAAATACCTTATAATTTCATTCCCAATATGTAATAATTTTGTTAAACACAAAAATTTAAATTATAATTTTTGTGATTCAACTTTCATAAATCGAATTCTTATTTAAGCATCATCAAATTCTTGTTTAATTATCATTGAATTCTTGTTCAAACATCATTGAATTCTTGTTCAAGCATCTGAATTGATACTATTTTTACTCAGTTTTATAATATCACTGTTTTCAAAATTTAAAAAATTAAACTTTGGTAACTGAAACTTATTAAGTCATAGAGTTACATTTATCTAGAACTTATTATACTACATTTTCATGTATTTATTAACTAATTTAAGATGAATCATAATGCGTAATTGTAAAAAATAAGAATTTGTAAGATGATGAGACTACTATAAACTAAAGATATGCAGTAATTATAAATAAAAAAATAAAGTCCCCTAGATAAGCTAATTTAAAAGTATTAGTCATGATCAATAACTTATTCAAGAAATAAAAAATTACTTATCATTATCTTAATAAATCAATGGCTGGTACAGTAATAAAAAATTTCTTGATCTAAAATAGAAAATATAAAACTTGGCCTTTTTTTCTTGCAAAAAATAAAAAAATAAAAAACATCAATAAAAATTTTGACTTTTCTGATTCTAAGAATGATCTGTTTGAAGAAGATAACTTTTTGGATCTGAATATCCTGATTTCTCAAGAAGCTAATACTAGTTCACCTCAAAATAATACTAGTTCACCCCAAAATAATTATGCATTAAGAAGGAAGCATTCAGCAATTTGGCCTTATTTTGATACTAATATTAATACCCATCCTGGTGTACCTGTATGTCGACAGTATGATACTGTTTTCTCAAGTACCACTGGAGTTTCAACTTTGTGAAAACATCTTAATTCTCATAATATTAGTGCACTAGCAAGATGTCAAACCACTCTTCTCTTTTATAGAATTCCAAGAACTAATCCATATAATGAAGAAGAACAAAAGAAAAGAGATAAAAAACTAATTACCTGGGTTATTGCTGATTAACAACTGTTTACTGTTGTTGAGAATCAATATTTTAATGATTTTATTAAGTTTCTTGATTCCCATTATTTAACATTGACATAACAAGTTGCAAAAAAATGATTATAAATGAATTTGAGAATAGAAGAGTTAAAATGGTTAATAACAACACAAAAATTTCTGAGAAAGTCTCGTTAACTGCTGACATGTGGACATCACGAAATTTTGAAGCATTTTTTGGTGTTACAATTCATTACATTGATTCAAATTGGAAAATGTGTCATTTTCTTCTAGATATTATTTCATTTACTAACAGACACACAGGTGTAAATATGGCAGATGCCATTAATAATCTTCTTGCTGAGTTTAACATCAAAGATAAAGTCTTAGCACTTATTACTGATAATGAGTCCACAATGATTATTTGTGAAAGGCTAATCATGAAAGAACTTCAACATGAATTTGACAATATTGGGTTTTCACATTATTGTTGTGCTGCCCATGTGCTCAACTTGGCTGCCAAACAGGAATTAGAAATAATTGATTCTTCAGCAAAGAAGGTTCAAAGTTTAATGTCAAAAATCAAAGTATCTACTCATCTTTGTGATGATTTGCATGGCTTATGCCAACTTAAGGGAATTCCATATCTCAAACCTAAGTTGAATGTTGATACAAGATGGAACAGTACCTACTACATGTTGCAAAAAATGCAAAAAATGGAAACAGCACTTAGATTAGTTGTCGCAGACCATCTATCAATTCATGCTCTATATCTGACTATTAATAAGCAACTAAGTTTAAAGTAAATAAAAAAGAAGTTTTTGCTTATTTTCAAAATGCACTATTTATTTGTTAATTTTGAACTTCTAAATAAATTAAGAATTCATTATTAATAAATAATATTTTTTAAAAAAATTATTTTAGGATGTGCTTACTTTATTAGAATCTATCGAAGCTGCCATGAAATTGCTCTCCGCAACATCATATCCAACCATAAGTGATATACACCTAGTGTTTTTAAGTATTCAAGATTTTCTTGATACATATATTGAACAAAATGAATTTTCTCAAAAGATGGTTGCTGCATCGATTCATCAAAAGATAGAGAAATATTGGATTATTATGGATAAGTCTTCTGTTGTCTTTACCATTCTTAATCCCTGTGCAAAATTAAAAATGTTTAGCAAAACAGAAGCCATCGATGCCAAAAAAACAGTTCAAGAAATTATGGATCAATATGTTTATAAGTACCAAAAAACCTCTATCTCTATGAATATCGAAGATAATCTAATTAAAACTGCTCGAAAGATCTTTTGGAACTTGCACAATAAATGGAAATTAGAAGAATTACCTACTATTGATAAATCTTCAACAACAGATATAAGTGAACTAGATCGTTATATTAGGTCAGAAGTTATTAAAGAAGAGACAATTCTCTTGGACTGGTGAAAAGCGAATCAAGAAACCTACCCTATCCTTTCAAGAATGGCATCTGACTACTTGAGCATCCAAGCAACAAGCATTGCATATGAACAAGCATTTTCAATTGCTAGTAACACCATCTCAAGAACCCGCAATCGTCTTCATTCCAAAACAGCAAGAGCTTGTCTCTGTGTTAAAAGTTGGATTAGTAATGGGATTGGTGAAATTGAATAAAATAAATAGACATGATAGTGCAGTAGTATTTTCATAAAATTATATCCCTTTGATTTGTCAAAATGCATATGTTTTATAAATATCTAAAGTGTATATGCATTTTAAGATTGTTTTATGTTATGAATAAACTCTGCTGCAAGTTCTATAAGCAGTAATAATCTACCAAAAAATGTAAAATTAAAAAAAGATCATGATTGTTTAAATAATACATTATTATTGGCTGAAGGTGGTCTGGTATAGGGTCTGGTCCTGAATCGAACTGAACAGGACCGGTTTATTGAAATGGTCCTTGATTCTTGGTCCAGTTGATGGTCTGCTAACAGGACCAGTCTTTTGAACCAAGACTGAACCTGAATGGACTGTAACATCCCTACTTATTACAGTACTTGATAATCAAATCATTATTGGCAAAGCCAAAAAACAGACCTCTTCTTCAAGAACAATTCTTATTACTTACTTGCAATGCTATATAGAACAACAATTTACTTGTTTATATCTATTTTCACCTATTTAATTACAAATATGCCCAAGTTGCTCTCTTAATTCTTATACAATTGCCAACAAATGTACAATCAATATTCCTATCAATTCTCTTCTAGATTCTTTGGTCAAGTCAATACATACAACATAACCCTTAACTTTAATGCCAACCATTTTGATTATATATACTCTATTGCAATTTGACATTCTATTCAAATTTCGAATTCTTCTAATATCAACATTACAATATACTTAATGCTAATGATATTTGAATCTAGTACTTTAATAAACAAACTTTAACAAATTGCTAATTACAATGCACAACTATCAGAACTTCATTTTTATACAGATGGCTCTGTCATCAACCTGGGCATCTCACAATGCTTTATAGGCATTGGATGGATCCAAATTTTAAACAACAATATACTGCATATCTTTCAAGCCCAAATAAGTTACTGGTCTTGTTTATTTACAGCTGAGCTCACTGCTATTTTAATAGCCCTTATTACTGCTCCTAGAAACTGTACTATACACATATATACTAACTCACAGTCCATAATCTTTAAATATCACAGTCTTTCAAACTCAACTCATACTTTATCTTATATACACACATCATACTTTTCATTATAGAATACACTTATTAACTTTGTCAAATTATACAACATTTATATTATTTTTCACAAAGTTACTGCTCATCAGAACAATCAGTACAACAATCTTGCAGACTAACTCATACATATTCATTACAATTTGTCATATTTTACCTTTATGTTCTACAATATTTACAATCTTGTATAAACTTTAAACTTTAAAAACTTCTCTTTAGAATTACCTATTCATTATAGTATTCATATAATATGTCATGCACATATTTATGCATTATAAATTACACAAAACTGCTTTCAAAAATGACACAAAATTCTTAACCAAGTTAATTGGCAAGTTACCTGGCTATACATCAACAATAATCAAAAAATTTCAAACTTCTCACACAGCTTTCAGTCCTTTACTCTTAAATCCTTTAGAATTAAAATTCTACTAGATGATCTTTCTACTTTACATATTTTACATAAATAATATCACTTATACTTACCTATCTGTTACCAATGTCATCAAATCAGTTCTATCTTTACTGAACAGCCTGTCTATTTAATCAATTGCTATACAGCCTTATAGACATTTCATTACAACATACTTTAAATACTAACACATTTGATACTACTTCAAATATTATAACCAATTTATATAACCAAATTAAGCTGTTGAGTAGTATAACTATTTACAGTATACCAGATCTACTTTCAATTTTTTCAACTCTAACAGGTCTAATACCAAATAAACTTATTAACATTATTACAAACCTGTCATCTAAAAAAGTAGCTACAATACTTGTTATCAAGTTTTTACTTTATCTTAACTAACAAATTTATCATAAAATCTAGATTTTATATTGTATCTCAAGATCTACAGCTCAATCTCCTGAATATAACACACCTTCAAATGCTGCCTCACTTTCATCACATTTTCTTTTACTCAATTCTATTAGTTCAAAAATAAAATCCTGATATATCCAATGGATTAAATATCAAACTAATCCTCTATACATAATTACTAATACTCAAATCTAGATGAGCCTTGGCCACTTCAGTTAATTTAGATTACAGATAAATTAGTCCAAGCTTCTATTTTTTTTATAATATTAATTGTACTTTATATAAAATCTCAATTAAATATTTAATAAAAATAGAGGCATGACCTTATAATTAATATTAAAAAAAAAAATAAACCTATCTAAGCTAATTAAAAGACCAAAAACTAAAAACTATATAACTAAACAAAAAAATTATTTTTAAAGTCTTTTTAGAATTAATTTAATTATAATTAAATTATTAAACAAGTTTATAATATAAAAAAACTTTATATTATATATTAGTAATTTTTATTTTTTATTTTTTTTTATTAATTATATTTAATTATTTTTTTTTTAATCTTATTAATAATAAGATCATGACTTTATTTTTATTAAATATTTAATTAAAATTTTGTATAATATATAAATCTGTTTTTAAAATATTATAAAAAAAAAAAAATTTGAAATATAGCAACCTAGTGAAGTAGATAGGTTGTCAATTCCCAAGTGGCAAGTCTAGAGTTCAAATCTCAGTAATGGCAAAATTTGCAATTCTTTCTGTGTTATGGCTAACTGTTTTTCATAATTGGTTAGAATAAGATACCTGTAATCTGTGTCATACCACATGACTGAAAGGTCTAAACACTTATACAATATTGTATAAGAGAACACAAACTGGTACCAGGTGGTGTGAACTTAAAATAAGTTCTTAGGCCATATAAATTACAGGAACCATGTAGAAAGATGGAAGCCCACTTGAAAGATCCAAGTAGAGAGGTAACCCAAATCTTTGATGATGCTACTGTAAAGACTAGACTTATAAAATGAAGCTAAAATTTGTAAAACTAAGCAAATATGTCAGTCATTGAAGAAGGACCAGATGAACCAACCAGGCTGCCAGAATTTCCAGGTTTTGGAAAAAAAGAGTACATGCTGGCAAACATGTAAACCAGAGATATAGTTTTATCCTACCTTTCTGGACTATCTAGAATGGCAGCTTGGTAAAACTTGAATTGAATACCAAAGTAGTAAAGATATATTGTGAAGTCAGTATCAGAGTTAAGATGAACTCTACAAGGGCATAGCAGTTTAATGATACACTCTAACTATCAGTGTTGGTCTCAGCTATAGCAATATCAGATTAGCTGTAAGAATGGGATACAGAAGATTCTGAAAGGTTTAGTACAAGGTTAAAGGTTCCT